TTACCTCTTTCCTCCTCGTACGCAGAGTTCTCTATAGGCCTCTCACCTGTCTCGCCCCCCTCTTCATCCTCTCGTCGCCTTCCCCATCAAGAAGTTCCGCCGAACACAATGTACACGAAAACATACTTAAGCTTCTACAGCGACAAATCCATGGAACTAACGGAGGAGACCAGGCCGACCCTCCCTCGTAAACAGCAAAAGACACAAGCAAATCGCAGAAAAAAGTTACATGAAGAAAAAAATGAACATCGTATGCTGATAATGATGATATGTACGCTTTACGACCTGCTGACAGATACGGTTACAGGCGCCGCATAATACAATACATTACTCTTCCAATACAAGACTCACATACCAGCATTAATCGTCACCTTACTCATATGCAATATCTCCGCCGCAGGTGGTGAACAAAAAACATGGCCACTCGATTCTCTAACATCAGAAGACCCATCAACGCCCCTAACCTTGATCCAGACATCTCAACACACTACCCTCTTGGCGTCTCCTTCCCTCTCGAAGTGGCATGAACCTAACGCACCAGGTACCACCCTGTTATTCAACCGCATCCCCGCAGAAGCGTAAACTGACAGACCTTCGCAAGGCACGGCCCGCTAGCTTAGCAACGGACGGGTACACTCTGGGACCATCACTCAATCGTGAGAGAACCGAAAGGCCCAATATCACGTGGCCGTGCCGCCGCTCTATATGGACACCTTTGCCACAGACGCCAATACCTGCGTAGTGATGATGCTGGGGAGTGGAACGCAGCAGAGAGAGAAGGAAGAGAGCAGAGAAGAGCGAGCACGAGAGAGGGACGAGAGAGAGAGAGAGAGAGAAACCGGAGAGAGGAGAGATATAAGATGGAGTGGTATACTATATGGATGTATATAATATCTATATATGTACCAGAGAGAGAGAGAAAAGATCAGAGAGACGAGAGAGAGGGAGATAGATAGAAGAGAGAGAGAGAGACGAGAGAGAGAGAAGAGAGAGCAGAGCAGGAGATAGATAGATGAGAGAGAGAGAGAGAGAGAGAGAGAGAGAGAGAGAGAGAGAGAGAGAGAGAGAGAGAGAGAGAGATAGAGAGAAGCTGGGGGAGTAAATACTAGAAACAGGTAAATATAAGCTTATAAGGTAATAAATATGTACCGATTCCTGATCATGCATTTCAGGCTACCACTACGTAGTCGCAGCTTCGGTATCAGCTGACTCTTCGTCACCTAAAGGGGAAATAAAGCTGACCTTGACCTCCAGCAAAGGTCAACAGACAACAGCATTGCTGGTCGAGTAAGTACTCTGTGACGTATGGTGAGGGCGTGCGTTCGTGAGACAAGAAGCTTCAACAGAAGAAGACGAAAACATATTGTAGAAGAAGAAGAAGCAGAATAATAATAATAATAATAATAAGAAGAAGAAGAAGAAGAAGAAGAAGAAATTTTGGTGAGTGGTGATGATGATGATGATGATGATGATGTCGAAAACGAGCAGAAGAGGAGGAAGAAGAAAATGTTGATGATGAAGCTGCTGCTGCTGCTGCTGCTGATGATAATGATAATGATGATGATGGTGATGATGGTGGTGATGATGATAATAATGATGATGAAGTTGCTGCTGCTGCTGATGATGATGATAATGACGATGATCGTGATGATGGTGGTGATGATGATGATGATAATAATGATGAAGCTGCTGCTGCTGCTGATGATGATAATAATGATGATGATGGTGATGATGATGATGGTGATGATGATGATAATGATGATGCTAAAGTTGCTGCTGCTGCTGATGATGATGATAATGATGATGATGGTGATGATGGTGGTGATGATGATAATAATGATGATGCAGCTGCTGCTGCTGCTGTTGATCACGATAATGATAATGATGGTGATGATGATGATGATGATGATGATGATGATAATGATGATGATAATGATGGTGACGGTGACGACGACGATTATGATGATAGTGACGAGGAATTTTTTAGACAGAGATCAAGCCGTATGTTTCTCTGTAGTAACAAATAAGAGTCACGGACAACGTCAACCCTAACACTAACCATAACACTAAACATAACCCTAACTCTAACCCTAAC